ACATATAAACAAAATTATAAGCTTACAATCACAAATCAAAAGTGCAATATTGTGTACTTGGGTTTACTTCCCAAGAAACGAAGCAGCCGGGATACCGAACCCAGTCAGAGCGGGTGGGTGTGCACTCAAGTGTAACGGCTGGTTCATTTGCAGATGCCCTCACGGCTCATTGTGTGTGTACATATATAGAGATGTTGGGTTTTGTAAATACATGCTCATTGTTTGTGTATAACATTTTGCAATCAACAGACATCATAACATGTCATGTGTTCAAGTATCACACCTGCCTGTCTGTGTAATTACATAATGTGACAGAGACCGAACTCGGGCCATAAATCAATGCGTTTTGTTTATAGTGTATAGCCTGATAGGTGTTAAGTTCAAATTACATGTGGTCAGTGATCGCAGTTGTATATTGAACATTAGCAGACAGGCAGACAGACACACAGGTGTCAATAAAACAAGACATTGAGTTTTGTCTGTGACAACGACATATCTATATCACAGTTAGAAATTCTGTCAACGCTAAATAATGACATTGCTTTTAAGTATCGAATTGAGAAAGTGACTCGGTAAGAAGAACATGTGGTGAAATAGACAAATGAAATTATATAAACAGTTTATTTACTGTCATAACATATAAAAAGCTCGCGCCTGTGAGATATCAACAAAACATTAGGAAAATAGCTCACACCAAAGCCTTCACCGAGTATTCACCGGACAGCCCGCTTCCAAGTTGCGCGAACCTATTTCACTGCGCACGTGCTATGAGCGCAGCCCAGCTGTTTGAAACCAGTTTTCCCCAGAAAAGTCGGGGAAAATTAGTGAATCGTTTGAACTCCGATTTCGCGCGTTTTTTTTCATCGCGTTATTTTTCAACTTTATAAGCTGAATTTGCATTTTTGATGATTTGTTTCGGTAAGTCCATACCAAAAGGTATCAGAATCTGCAAAGTTGTGTTTTACGTTGCATGTGACCTTTAAAAGACAACGTGTATGAGTGGGTGCCTCTGGCAGACTTTAAAGAACCCGAATGGTTGATCAACAGAACCCTCACCGCAACTTATATCTCATTTAAACAAAATGGTTACGTCTCCGAGATTAAGAACAACGGGATCATTCTCACATCTTTCATTCCGTTAGATAATACCCAAGTTATACGAATACTAGGTTACACGGGCAACATGTTAGCTCCAAACGGTGAGATTGCATTTTTAAGGTCCGAATCACCCGATTACCAGCAGAAGTTTTTGTTTATGAGATCAGACACCACACTCATCATAGAAGTCTATCTCGGAAACACTCATAACGATTCAAACCCTTTAGATTAGGGATTAGGGATTAGGTGCGGTAGGTGTCGGGTTATTGTCCACCATCGTAGCCGCACCTATAGTGCTAGGCATTGAAATAACAGCTGGAGTGTCAGGGTTGGTGGGATTGGTGTTTAAGTTTGTATCTCGCAAATTGCACCGTAAAGCATTGAACACGACGAAATTAGAATTCTAGCCGAAGCAAAGTTAAACACAATAGCCGATCATATTTCCACCGCACTCACTGACAGTAATAGTCTGAGAAGACAGGAACAATTACCAACGTTGTCGTATCATCGTACAACCAGGATCGGCACCCTTAGTAAGCCTCGATGGGGTCCGTATTTTGGACCAAGATGTGCCTATAGATGTCTCAGAGATTTTCTTGCATAAAAATCTAAGCCTTATAAGCCTCAAATACATTGATAAGAAATTAACGAAAAATCAATTAAATTTTATCTTATAATATATAATACACACCCAGGATGGGAGTGTACCGAGACGTAGAAGAAGTAGCAAAAACACTGGAAACTGTAGACGGATTTCTTTTGAGACAGTTATGTGACATAAAACGTCAACTAGAACAAGATCGCGACATACGGGCAGCATTATGTAAGAAATACCATAGAGCTTTCAATTTCGTGGATGGAATTCATACCTCCCTTATGGCAACCAGTATGGGATTAGGTGCGGTAGGTGTCGGGTTATTGTCCACCATATCGTAGCCGCACCTATTGTGCTCGGCATTGAAATAACAGCTGGAGTGTCTTGGTTGGTGGGATTGGTGTTTAAGTTTGTATCTCGCACATAGCATCGTAAAGCATTGAACACGACGAAATTAGAATTCTAGCCGAAGCAAAGTTAAACACAATAGCCGATCATATTTCCACCGCACTCACAGACAGTAAAATCTCAGAGGATGAGTTTCGTTTGGTTCTCTCTGAACTCGCAAAATATCACAAAATGAAACAAGAGATTCGAACCAAGTACCGTAAAAGCACTGCCATCAGTGAAGACGAAAAAAAAGTACATAAACCAAGGGATACAACAAGCCCAACAAGCCTTCATTACGAAAACCAAAGAAATCAAAGGAGATTCACATTAAATTGTTTCGCCGAGATCAACATTATATAGGTTGATCACAATAGTGTCACGTGACCAGGAAAGTGTTGGTTTGCGGTCATAGTGACCAGGAAGTTTTGGGGGCGAACAAAAAAGTGGCATGCACACTAGCGGAAAGAGATAAGGGCCTGATAAAAGCTTTATTTGATAAATACAGCTTTACAATAGCTTTTGTCAGACTCTATCTCGTACCCCCAGTATATACATGAATACTACTATTTATGTTCTAATGCGTAAACTCAACCGAACATAAAACATTTACAAATAATCACACAACTTTGTATTTGGCCTCAAAAACTAAGAGAGCGGGCAAATAAAAGGATAATACAAATCTGTTTAATCTATCATTTATTACTGGCAACAGGAGATAACAACATTCAAATTCCCAATTTGTACGACACACTGAGTCTTGCCAATAAGCTATCCTTCACATAAGAGTATTTTGGAGTCACTGAACGCCACCGACCGTGACGCTTAAATAGCCTCTCCGGCACTCCAGCATTCGACCGGAGGCTGTGCACCCCGACTTACTAAATTCCTGTCTCTTGAGACCAACAGTCTCCAACGTTATCAGAATTATCTCTCGCATACGTGTTTAAGAGACTCGCTTGCTGCCTCGTAACTTATAAGTGTTTGACTTTCTTCAATAATTAACTGGTTTAAATATATATTCATCGCAGTAACGTTCAAATGCTTGTTCTAGGTATGACGTCATAATAGTACAGGTTATAAATACCAACCAGGCGTGTAGGAAGCCAATTTTTCGTGTATATATTTCGATAGTATTGAGAGCCTGCCCAACCTCTGTTACAGCAATCATGTGAGCCCGGGCTTTATTACTCGCCCGTGGAAGATACTGCGACCAGATTTCACATTGTGATGGGTGATCTGATCAATTATATGTCACATCTTCGTATGGCAGATAATAACGGACTGTTTTCATTAAACATGTCTTCGCAATGTCGCATAGTATTTCAATAGATGGAAACAATTTGATGCATTAACTTTTAAAGCTGTGATCCTTAGAAACCTTTGAGTAGTATATATATATATATATATATATATATATATATATATATATATATATGAGTCCACATATTTCTTCTTGTCCACAATTTCTCTTGTCAAATCTCCTTTATATCTGCACAAGATCTTTCGCCGTTCAACGGCTCTTCAGGTGTACAATGAAAGCTGAGTGTCGTCATAGGCGACACATAACGGTAATAGCTATGTCGTCATCATGCGTATGACGTTAAGCAGTTAGTGACAATAGCGGGAGACTTAAAACGTAGTCATGGATGACAGTAAGGTTACGTTTGTGACGTCATCGTGTTTTTGCTTTTATAATGGGCATAATTGTACAGTTATTAGGATTGTAGGTACAAACAAATGGAAGAATGTCCACCTCTGTATTTGTTTCTTTTGTTTTCATAAGTGTCTCACTTGGAACTTGGGATGTGGTGAGCATTATATTGGAGAAACTGGAATGCAACTAAAGGACCGAGTCACTGTACACAGACAACAAATTCGAGATCCTAATGTGTGATGTATAAATGTAAGCAAACACATTCATGAATGCGGGAATGGCCAGTTTACTATCTTTCCGTTTTATCAATTGTTTAACAATGATAAACAATTACGGATGGAAAAAGAACAAATGTTCATCAGGCTGTTTAAACCTAAGCTTAATACATAAGTATAATTTTGTAACTTTCTTAACGTAACTCAGTATGTATTTGTGCACTGAAACCATAATGCATACGCGTCCACCACTATTGTTTCTAACTTTGACGTCAAAAACACGATGACGTCACAAACGTAACCTTACTGTCACCCATGACTACGTTTTACGTCTCGCGCTTCACGTCATACGCAGGATGACGACATAGCTATTACCGTTATGTGTCGCCTATGACGACACTCAGCTTTCATTGTACACCTGAAGAGCCGTTGAACGACGAAAGATCTTGTGCAGATATAAAGGAGATTTGACAAAAGGAAATATCTGGACTCATATTTGATATATTTATTGCTTATACACCTGCAGAATATATATATATATATATATATATATATATATATATTTATAGCTTTATAGCATCTATCTCCAATGGGTTCCTCCATAAAGATGGGGAAGACATATGTTATAATGCGTGTTATTCGTGCGATCATATTCCGTTAAACCGTTAGACTTTTTCAGGTTTCGTAGCTTTACAAATATTAATAAGTGTGTTGGTAAGCAATATGCTTCATCAATATACGGTTTCTTTGTGAGATCATATTCCCTCAAAACAACAAACAGCTAAACTGCGTAGCTTTATTTAAGCACAAAATTGATTTGAGAAAGCCATGCATGCAAGGGCCATTGCACTACTGTTGCACATTATTTCCTTAATTACCTTTAGGGCACACATGTCTTAAAACATTAAGATACCGAAATGTACGCATCATTACACAATCAAGGAAACAAATATATGCGAACAACACTTATCAACAAATGTAAGTGGGTAGTCGTCGAGCGAGGTAGAAAATCGATACACTGGAGTCGTCAGCGTTGCAGTTCCAGGAAGCAAAGGTCACCGTGACCCGGACCGCGTCAGCCTGTAGGATAGTGGGGACAGCATGCAACGTCTGAGCTGGAACTGTAAGGTAATGTATACACATGACCAAACTGACCAGAAACTAGCACAGACTACCTCAAGATGGTAACAAATACCATGGAATATGTTTGATGTTACCATGGTCACATTGTTTATTATGATAGGTCATTAATGTTTATGTAAGTGTTCATTTAGTACATTAACGTAATGGACATGTATCCTGTTGAAATGGTACCTATACTTAAATATTGGGTAATTACTACCAAAAAAGACAAAAGCTATTGGAAGGGCGATGAGGAAGGACGTAGAGTATGGGCGAACACATTTATCGATCAGTAGCTATATTATCGGATAAAATCAATGCCTGATCATTCATATGTAGCTTATGAAGTGGAGATGTCCTTCATTTTGACAACATTGAAGCACAGTATGAGTTTGATCACTGTCTATATTTTTAAGACAGAACACTGGCTCCATCTTTTCTCTATGACAGGAAGGTATAGTAAGTATTTGGCCCTGAAAGCCTATTGCGAGGGTGAGTCAATACTGTTGTTTTGTGATCGTAACTAAGCAATGGGTAAACATCGATATCGAGTTTGTATTTGTAAACATAACCGGGCGAGTAGTTGTAAGCACGAAAACTGACGAGGAAATGTCCTGCTGGGGACATATCGTACTGAGAATGGTAATATACCTTCACTTTCGATGTTTATATGCACGAAAATATACACTATAACTTACACAACTACAGGCCCCTTAACACTTGCCCCCGTTTCCCACCTATATACTCCAGTATTGTACCACACACCCCTTTACACTTTCACAAGTGTTCCATCTATGTACCCCACTACACTACATCGCATGCATCTACACGATTACTCGTCATCTAGCCATTGTACGCCATCCCCAATAACACTTTCCCACCTATATACTCCAGTATTGTACCACACCCCATTAACACTTTCCCCAGTCTCCCACATATTTGCTTCACTATTGACACACCCCATTGACACTTTCACCCGTCTCCCACATATTTGCTTCACTATTGACACACCCCATTAACACTTTCACCCGTCTCCCACATATTTGCTTCACTATTGACACACCCCGTTAACACTTTCACCCGTCTCCCACCTTTTTGCTCCATTATTATACCACCCACCCCTTTACACTTTCACCCGTCTTCCACCTATTTGCTCCACTATTGTACCACAAACCCGTGAAAACACTTTCACTCGTCTCCCACCTATTTGCTCCACTGTTGTACCACACACCCCTTAACACTTTCAGCCATTTTCCACCTATTTACTAAACCATTGTACCACACAAGCCTCTACACTTCCATATGTCCTAGTATCCAGTGATGCGGAAGCAGGCACGTCTCCAATGGTTGAATGATATGAATATGCATGGCCTTTTAACTACTGGTCAAGTGTAACAAAACAAATGGAAGAGATATAAACTGCACATAACAACATTTGTTTATCAACTTTCTCAGATGCATTGTATATTTCCAGCTGTTTTCAGAATGATCTGTGGAGGTGACGCAAAGGTTGAGGATATCTCACCAATTCTTGACGTCCATAAAATCATCCAGGACTGGGCATGGGGTGAATTCATAAAGAGTGCAGGCCGTTTGAGAAGGCCTTTCATCAGAAGAAAACACTTCACTGTTGACGTCCAAATGAACTTCTATCAGTTTGAAGATTCGAAAGCTGAGCTTAAAGACGTGGATGTTGGAGCTGAGTCAAATCCATTTTCCAAGGAAGGAGAACATATGCCCAATACATCCATACTCTCCACGGACTACCATAACGACACTGATATGGACCAGGTATACAAGTTCAGAATGGAACGGGCAAGAAAGGCGAGTGTAAAGGTGACTTTCCAGAAGGGATTTACAATTGGTGGAACGGCAAACTTCTCCATTGGTGTTGTTAATGGTAAACTTGAGACGACACTCAACGTAACCAAAACTACCGAGCAGACATTTGAGGAAACATTGACGTTTGAAACCAATAGTGATATCAACGTCAAAGCCAACACCAACTGCGTGGCCCAGGTTGTCTTCACGGAGAGGGAGATGTGCAAAAGGTTCACAGTTGAGACCACCATGAGAATGCCATCAGGCAAAGCCCCAGTGTACATAAGAAGGAAGAAGGACAAGAAGGTAATGATGTCGTTCAAGATTCAGGATCTAAGACTCATTTTTCACAAGTATAAGGAGGAGAAGGATCCGGATAGGAGAGTGGACTTTGTGAGGGAGACAATTATGTTGAACGGGAAAGAGTACAACAACTATGCGATCAAGCTGACAACGAGGGGGGTCCTTGAAGGAATGAGGCTGTCGGGTCAGACTGTGAGGCTTTATTCAGAGGATATAGAACGTAACGGTAAACGAAAGAAACAGACTGATAATGAAGTTCTAGAGGAGCACATGACTCGACAAATACAAAGTGTAAAAATGTAAATTACTGTCAACATTATGAAGTGAAGTTCAGGCGTTTTCTAGGCGTGCCAGCTTTTTGCTGATTGAACACCTCAGTTTCAGGAAGAAAAATTGTCTTCTTAGGAAAAAGGGGTAACTTGTCTGCTGAGATCTGTACCTATGACTAAACAAGGAAGCGTAGTAAACAATGACTTTTGTAACTGACAAAATGACATGTAAATATTTAAGGCAGGATGTGGCAAATATGTTCCAGCTACTCTGGCTGATTGTACTTATTCGAGTCCATCTGAGAGTGATGGCTGTTTTTGCTATCAGCCAAATAACGGACAGTTTGTAAGTAGTGATATAAACAATTGCTGTTTGCAGTCAAAACAAAACAACTTTCACACACGTACACACGCACACACATGAGATCAACCAGTCACCGCTTCACTTCATGCCTCTGTACCATCATTAAACTTCATCTGTTCTTGTCCAAATTCTTGAACAAACGTGTCTTCACTTAAATATCCCCAGGTTAATGATGAACCTATAGCGAACGGTTATCTGATTTTTGTAACCCTAAATGTACGTACGGTGTGGCTGAAAGAACGTCGGTCGGAAGTGGGGACGATCGGTAGTTCGATCGTTAAAAGATGTCACTTTCTATCCTGTTCCTCGGCAGTAGTAACATAGAACCAGGCCTGCATGACTCAGGTGTCCATATTATGTGAGTTTGATTTTTGGCTGTGTCTTTCCGTGTTGATAAATTTAAGCGCCAAGCCCTTTCTACATCCGTAAGAAATCTCTGCTGAAGGAAAATCAATTGTACAATTCACACTCTATTATGAGTGAGTGAGTGAGTGACTGAGTTTTGTTTTATGCCGCTTTCAGCAATATTCCAGCAACATCATGGCGGGGCACACTAGAAATGGGCTTCACACATTGTACCCATGTGGGGATTTGAACCCGGGTCTTCGCTTTAACCACTAGGCTACCCCACCGCCCACACTCTATTATGAAATTGTGTTTGTTTGCTTGTTTGTTAAACGCCCCACTCAGCAATATTACAACGGTGTGCGGGGCGGTGGGGTAGCCTACTGGTTAAAGCGTTCGCTCGTCACGCCGAAGACCCGGGTTCGAATCCCCACATGGGTACATTGTGTGAAGCTCGTTTCTGGTGTCCGCCGCCGTGATATTGTTGGAATATTGCTAAAAGCGGCGTAAAACCAAACTCACTCACTCATTCACTCACTCACTCACTACAACGGTGTGACGGCGGTGTGTAAATAATCGGGTTTGGATCAGATAATCCACCATCACTGGTCAGATATGTCATAATTCCGAGTTGCTACAAAATAGACACAACGGAAATTGTGTCGATTAAAGTGACTGACTGACTGAGTTTGGTTTTACGCCGCTTTTAGCAATATTCCAGCAACATCACGGCGGGCGATTCAAGTGAGTCAGTATGGTTTTACGCTGCTTTTAGCAATATTCCATCGATGCAAGGCGAGGGGACAGCCTGTACCCAAGTGAAGAATCAAACCCGGGTCTTCATTGCGACGAGTGAACGTTTTAACCACTGGGCTACCCTTCATGCGTGCATGCATGTGTATGTGTGGCTGCTTGTACTAGCCCAGATTTAAGCTGGTTTTAAAGAGCTAGCTCACTGAGATACCATGCCGCAGTGAAGCATGAATACCCCACTCACACACATTATACTGACTTCGAGCCGACCAATCCTTCTTGTACCCATTAATGCCGAGCGCCAGGCAGGGCCCAACAAGTACCATATTTAAGATTGACCAAATCGTTAGCTAGCTTATGTTTTGATAATTCCATACGCATTTAGTTCTCACACGAGAAGGAAATTGAAGAGTAAAGTAATTAATAGAGAGAGATTATTAAAGGGAGAAGGAAATGTATTGCTTTAAAATTGAAGAATAGAGTAATTAATTGAGAGATTATTAAAGGGAGAAGGAAATGTATTGCTTTAAAATGCTTGTGATTGCACATCATGGCAAATCCCAAGAAAGTCGAATACTTCACATCACAGAAAGGAGGACAGCAGATACTCTTGGAGGGATACCGCTACAGACTCAACAACAGGCGACAGACGTGTGTACACTGGAAGTGTGTTCAAGGTGGCTGCTTTGGCAAGTGTACGACCGTCGGACAGTTTGTTCGGAATCAGACCCCACACAACCACCCACAGAAGACCAGGTAGCCCTGAAGATTGCCAGTTCCCTGAGGCAGCGGGTACAGACTGAGACGACGCCAGTTCAGGTGATCTACGATGAGGAGATTTCCCGACTTGACCGAGGTGAAGCAGCAACAGTCAAGTCGTTCCATTCTATGAAGAGTGGACTCTACAAGCAGAGACGGAAGATGATGCCGCCACTTCCCCAGACGCTCAGCGAGGTGAATCTACCCGACTTCTTCAAGGAGACTACAGATGGACTGCCCTTCCTCTGCATTGATGACGGTGATGATGACAAGATTCTCTGCTTCGCCACAAGTGACCGCCTGACCCTCCTGCAAGAAGTGGACACCCTCTACATGGACGGCACCTTCTACTCCTGTCCTCCTCTCTGGGATCAGCTGTACGTCATCCATGGCCTAGTCGGAGGGAAGATGACCCAGTTGGTCTTCTGTCTACTGCCGAATCGTCAACGCCGCACCTATGAACGCCTGCTACGTCTCCTGAACGACAAGATCCAGCAGACAACGGGATCGCCCCTTCAGCCTGATGTCATCCAGACGGATTTCGAAATCGCTGCCATCAACGCTGTTGAGACCGTCTTCCCCAACTGCGACGTCCGTGGATGCTATTTCCACTACAGCCAGGCTGTAGGAAAGTACAGAACCTCGGCTTCAGCGAAGCCTACCAGCAGGATCCTGAGGTCCACAGATGGGTCCGACGAGCAGCAGCACTCCCCCTCCTCCCAGTGGCCATGGTACAAAATGCCTGGATAGAGGTCATGGACGACGCCCCTGCCATTGGACAGAAGGATGAGTTCCAGGACTACATCACCAGCACCTGGGTAGACGACCATGCACGGTTCCGAGCCGGACTATGGAATCACCACGACACCAGCGGCCCAAGGACGAACAATCATCTCGAGGGTTGGCATTCGCATCTCAACAAGACCGTCCAGAGAGCCCACCCGAACATTTTCGCTCTTGTGAAGGTTCTGCAGAAGCTGGAGAAAGCGGAGAGAAATAAGCTGGTGCAGATGGCTCATGGCGCCCGTCCCCACCCGCAAGAGGACGTACACAGAAATTGACCAGAGACTCACTCGTCTGAAGGCCCAGCTGACATCTGGTATCAAGACACCTCCTGGAATTCCTGACTGCTGCAGGATATTTGATCAAGCTAGCTTGAAAACCAAATGACTATGTTGATGAATGTGTGAAACTGTGTGTATACATGTAAATTACTTTTGGTTTACCACAATGACTTTATTAATGAATGTGGTAGTTGACTGTGTGTGAAGATGTATATATGTATATATAATCATGAATCAAATTAAGTTTTAATTACATTTTAATCCAAATAAATGATTATGTTTATTTATGTAAATTTATTTATCTCAAAACAAACTACTATGTGAAAGATATGAATAAAGTTTAAGAAAATTAAGAAAAATATGACAACAATGTGAAAGATATGTATATGAATGTACATATGTATATGAATGACCAAATAAAATGTCTCTCAACATAGAAAGTTACTGTTTTCTATATACTGTAGGCATTAGTGCACTTTGAAATAGGACCATGCCACTTTATTGAAAGGTTGAAGGCAAGTGCAATCAGCAGCACTGGTGCGTAAAGTTGTTTATTTAACACTGTAGGCATTATTCACTGTAGGCATTAGTAGACTCCACCAGAATTACTAGTGCATGGTCCGGTTTGAAAGAAAGATGTGTCTTAGCACGAACGTCATTTATCAGATCGCGGTGTACCTTGAATTTTGTTGTTGTTATAGTTGTGTATATTTCAGGGATTATGGGTATTACAGCATTTGTGCATGTTCCGATGATGTCTAAACATGAACCTAAAATATATTTTTTTAATAACCGTCCAAACTGAGTCAAATACGCATGTTTCGATTTTATCGCAATCTGCAAATTTATACTGTTTGGACTCAACACGCAATTTCCTAGAAATTGACGGGGAAACTCATTTCTAGGAAATCGGCACGACGTACTACATGGTTGGGTTGTTGGCAGTGTGTTGGTCACAGGACGTATCATTTCTGCAAGGCCCGGACTGCCTCAGGCTTGTGCTTCTACTATGTTGTGGTGACCATTCTTTCACAGGTTACATGTACAGACACGTGATGACCCTGAACGGTGTTCAAACATACCAATTGAAACAACTGTGTCAATACTGTAATCGAGAGCTTGTGTAATACACTAAGAATTACTAGTGCGTGGTCCGGTTTGAAAGAAAGATGTGTCTTAGCATGAAGGTGACTTATCAGATCGCGGTGTACCTTGAATTTTGTTGTTGTTATATTTCAGGGATTATGGGTATTACCCAGGTATATAGACAGCATTTGTGCATGTTCCGATGATGTCTAAACATGAACCTAAAATATATTTTTTTATTGTTCTGCAGGGTTTTACTCGAGGCACAGGTATGTGAGTACAGATGCGTTGAATTGTCAATGATTTGGATACTCAGAGCAAAAGTTATTCTGACAAACAATTAACAAAGTCACAGTTAAACAGCGATTAACATATTGTTACTTGGAAAGACAAATGGTTCAGGGTGCTAAATTGAGTCCATCGGACTTGACACGGGGTCGTTAGTGGTGAGCGGACACTGTAGACGGTCTACGCTCCGATGAGTAGACTAAAGTATACAGACAGCCCTTAGTATGTCGTTTTCCCCGAGGCGTGGCATATCGAACGATTACTAAAGGAGTTTTTCTGACTTCTGTCTGGTTTCTCGAATATGGTGAGGGTCTTCCCCATGTCGGGTATGGCGATTCTTCGACCATTTTAACACACTCTTTCCCTGGTTCAAATCCCAAAATACGTTCACAAGATTTACAAAAAGTAACGTTCCTTTAATTAAAGTAATAATGAAATCTTAGATTTCAGTACACCACACTATTTCATTGCCTTACAGAACCCTCATATTCCTGCAAGGATTCTTGAAATTTCTAACGGGGGTCCTCTGTACTACTAGTTTTGCAAGTTAAGTTTGCAAGTTTTCCTCCAATCATTCATGGTACCGTTGTCAAGAATACAATGAGTTTGTAAACAGAAATGATTCAGTGAGTGAGTGATTGAGTGTTGAGTGAGTATAGGTTTACGTCGCTTTTAGCAATATTCCAGCAATATCACGGCGGCGGACACCAGAAGTGGGTTTCACCCATTGTACCCATCTAGGGAATCGAGCCCGGGTCTTCAGTGTGACGAGCGAACGATCAGACCACAAGGCTACCCCACCGTCTGAACTGATTCAGAACAGCCAATGCCTATCCATACCTACCTATAACGCATTTCACCATATAAATATGAAGACATATGGAAAACAATACTCGGCATTGCATTTATCATTTTATTTCTTGTGATACAGGATAATGGGTGCGCCACACGTATACATATGAATAAAAAACTTTATCAATGAAATTTGAACTTCCTTATTATCTAATTTTTAGGTTACAAACAGAAGCTGTGTCAGTAATAAATCAAATATACGAGAAGACAGAAAGAAATTAATAATTTTTTAAAAATCAGAAAAAAACATTGAACAGAACGCGTCCTCGCTCGTACAAAACATATTGCTTGGGACTGTTAGAGAGTGGGACTGACAAAGAGACTGTGCTAAATGTATAAATGGGAGTATGCAATGTCTTTTCTTCTTTTATGTTGAAATAGGATATCCATCTACGACATGGGTTTCACTGCGAGTCCACTGCCGCAGCACCAAATTGTACAGACAATATATCTATCTAAAATGACAGCACGAGCATGGCAGGTATGCTACTTCAAAAAATTTCAAGTATATTGATACAATCTTCATTCGAAATTATTGTGACATTTAACTAACCATTAATAAATCACTGTGTTAAGTGATTGCCAAATTAAGAAATATTCGACGTGGTTTACTCCCATAAGAACTACATCCCATTTGAACTACATCCCACATTAACTACAGGGATTAATTAGGGATTAAGTATCTGAGTCGAGGCACCCCCATGGCATGTAATGAGCACAGCCCATCAGCTCTCCCAGAAGAACTACATGCTTAAAGTCCTATTGACCAGAAATTATGTTGTTGTAAAGGTAATAACCAGAAAGCAAAGGACAAGAGAGAAGGGTATGCTGTAGTTAGTGAATGTTCTTGTATTCATATGATAGAAGAAAAAAACAAGCCAAGAGTATATTGGAATATAGGTAAAGGTATATTGGAGTAAAGGCGAAATATAAACGAATGAGTTTTTAAGTTAAAATAATATTGTTATAGCATGCAACCCAGGACCTCGACGCAGTTGGCTACTTATTGAAGCTGTGTTCTACATGGATCAGATTGATAGGTAATATGTTATAGATAAATAAAACATATCTTCTTAGGTAGACATTTAAACAAAAGAAACAAATACAGAGATGGACATTCTTCCATTTGTTTGTACTACAATCATAATAACTGTACAATTATGCCCATTATGAAAGCAAATCTTCCAATTTTGTATACAAGTGATACTATGAAAAAAGGTTTATCAGTCAGTGTAACAAAATGTCAAACACCTCGATGCGGAACTTGTTCGATCATAACTGACAAAATTTACATTTTGTGAAGGCAAACTATTTACTATCAAAACCAACATGAACCAACATGAACTACATGTTATATATGTTTTATTTGTTTTGTGTTGGGCAAATCCATTAAGCAGACGCAGGTAACAGCATGTAGTTAATATGTGCACTGGATAATGACATGTGTTTTAAGCTGTAGTTCTTATGGGAGGACACCTTCGACGTGCACGTTTTATTATTTTTTTAATTGCTAATTGAAAATAAAAGTTATTCCCATTAGTCGGATGCTTCTTCAGTCAGACAATGGAGTATAGACGAATAAGGCAAACACCACGTCTAAAAGAGCATATTCCAAACTCGACTTACAGGATATAAATATGTAAACTAGTCCCAGTGATTGTTGAGAAAGGTAAAATCCAACGTCACAACATACTCATTATTCTAGTAATGCACAAAGAATTATTATTAGTCCATGAACTCATAACATATTGGTTAGTCCTATTTCTTAATTAACAATTTAACCACCAACAGTTAATCCCTGAACTCATACGAAATATTCTGTAGTCTTATTGATCTTTTTTATTTAGAAAGACACAATCCGTCAGTTACTGCATGTAAACTGACATTTAACAAGTAATCCATGAACTCATTGGATATATTCGGTAGTTCTATTTCTATTGGTAAAGGTAAAATCAATAAATTACAGTGTATTCTAGTAATCCACAACTAACTAACAAGTAATCCATGGAAATATTCGGTAGTCCTAGTGGTTGTTGTAAAAGGCAAAATCAATCGATTACAGCGTGCACATGATTCCAATAATCGACCAATGACTAACAAGTAGATTTCAAATTCATTGGAACTTGTCAGTAGGGTCGACCGGACATTCCACAGTCACCACGTATTCCCCATGAACGGTTTTCTGGAACATGAAACCAACATTTAACACGGCTGATCACTGTAATGCATTATACAAACATGGATTGATGGAAACAACATAAAATATTGTACCAGTTTTCTTCCCTCAACTAGTTGCACATACCTGTTCTATAATCGTTATCCCTGCTGGTTCTTGATGCGATACATGATGAAATTCACGGGACCCAACTCTAGCTCTGAACTTCACTACACTGGAACTGAGGCATTTAATAACATTATATCCCATCGGTTAACGTCTTTATCATGATACAAAATAATGAGACCAAGTCGGGACTTGGAAGTTAAACATGCTGGAACATAGGAATCGATTGATAAATATATAATGATTCGTAGTTCATGTTCACTTCTATTTATATATGTACGTGGCGATCTTTAGATTGCTATGCAGTAACACAAAAAAATAATCTTTCGGGAAAATATTCGATGTCAGATAAAACATGCTTTCCCTTCATTTTGTAACATCACTATCCCAAACAACGATTTAAAAGCTCAAGAAGACTTCTGAAAGCCATTGTTCAGGAATTGAATTATCATCCTTACCTGTTGACAGTTGCTTCTGCAGATGTAGGTTCCTGATTAGCTGCACCTATCTCGTAGATAACTAGATATCTTGAACCTCCAAGGGGTCTGACACTCACTGGAATATTCAAGGGTTTGATCCACTGACATCGAAACTTACATGACAACAAATGTTTGTTTTGTTTGCATTTTTATGTGTTAACAAGTTCTGACAATGTTCCTACAGGTACCAGTGGCGTCAAAATGGCGTAATATTACTTTTTAAAAATACCGCCACTAAAAGATACATAAATGACAGATCCATAGTCCAAATATCTCAAACGGGTATGGACAAACATATACAGGCAAGTAAATGTCTCCTTCATTACTGTACCTGTTTCCAAGCTATGATTTAACGTTGATGCTTACACCATCTCTTTATAAGTTAGCTTTTCCAAGAATGAAGCAGATGTAGGGCTAATGAAAAATAAAATGCCCTCGGAGAAGCTCTTACAAGGTTTCTGAAATTTCTCATAGAGTCCAAATAGTTTGATATTTTGTTTACAATATCTCCACTAACATGTACTTAAATGTACCCACCGCCTGGTCTGTTTGCCATCCTTGGTTCCAACAATGAGTCTAAAACGTAACAAACACATACACGTATATTAGAAGTTCTGAATGTAATTTAACATGAGAAAGGGAAACAATCAATAAGCCATCATTTTAAAACTACTCATTAAAATACAGAGCCATGACGTTTAATAATTTCTTCATAATGATGCCCCATATACTTTAAGATTAACTCAAGGCTATCTGCTCATCCTTAGTCTCCATTTCTTGCTACATGACTTAGTTAAATTGGTATAAGTAGAACAGTGCCGTAAAATTGAAAATACAATGGAATCGGCATAAATTAGCTGATGTTAAACACAATGTATAGTCCAAATGAGTGTGTATGATCTTATGCAGCCTTTAGCGATAATATTATTATTATTATATTTTACACATTAAAGATAATATGCAGCAGAGAGGGTTCGGGTGATCCTGGCACAGTCAGGCTGATTAGGCTCATCATCAGCTCAGGGCCCTCGCCCCCTCTACACGCAGCCCAGACAGTGAAAGGACTTCTCCCAGGAAACGCTGCCTAGTCGAACCCACCAAGAACTTTCCGGAGAATATGAAGGCTCCCCAACACTGCATATTGTTATTATTATTATTTATTATTATAGCACCTTCACCTTAGTACAGCAACGTGCAGTGAACTTGGGCAAGGTGATGTGACTATGTGTCCCAGTCCACCCAGCTGTGAATGGGTACCTCGTTAGGATGGGAAAGCCACAATAACGCGGTGGGCCTAGTGGCTGCAAGAGTCGTATACTCCCAAAGGGAGCTGAGTTTGATAATACGAGATTGCGATTGACATCCAATGATTGAGGGGGAAAACTATCAGCGCCTGGAGCATGCACTAGTTACGTGGATATGTGCACTATATGGATATGTGCACTATATCCACGTAACTAGTGCATGCTCAGGCTGATATTTTCCCCTCAATCGTGGATGTCAATCTGTCTCATGTTATCAAACTCAGCTCCTTTGAAAGTATAGAGACTCTTGCAGCCACTAGGCTACCGCGTTATTGTGGCTTCTTCCATCAACGAGGTACCCATTCACAGCTGACTGGACTGAACACCTAATCACATCACCTTAGCCCTACACTACATGCTATACTCACAACTAAGGTGTTTGCACGTATTCACGTGGCTACCATCTGGTCATATACCAACGGATTCTAGCAATATCATGACGGGTGGCACCAGAAACTGGCTTCTCATATCGTACCCAGGTTGTGTATCGAACCAGGATCGTGACATGTCAAGCGAATGACCACAAGCCTTACATCTATAGTCCAAATTATCATGCAGGCTCGCAAGGATTACACAGACATCTAAATGTTTACCCCATTACTGTACCTGTTTTGAAGGTCTGGTTTAACGCCGCTGCTCACAGGTCTCTGGCGACCAGACAGTATGCCTGTCTCTTTATAGGCTAGCTTTTCCAAGAAACAAGCAGATTGAGGGCTAATGAAAAACAACATACCCCGGATACAACTTTCAGACACAACTTTTATTGTCAATGTATTTTTCACAGCAACCATATATGGACATGGTAAACGTGTTTATCAGCACGCCAACTGCATGGCTATATTTGGCGTCAATACATTTGACATAAGTGATGCATAATGAATAGAACAATGCTTGACCTTGAAGAATCACGTTCTGGTCACATGCGCGGTACACGAACAATAGGTTCTCACGTTGCATAGGCGGATCCAGGAAGTTTCAAAGGGGGAGTCGAACCAAGTCCCCCCACCACCACCCCTGAAACCACCCCCACCCTCCCCCTGGATCCGTCAATTTGTTTCAACTTGTGTTAACAACTTGTTGCATGCAACACAGTTTCAAGAGAGCTGTAGGGCTAGTGAGAGCTGAATGACCGTAAACTTCCTGGTGATAAGGATTTTAAAGTATTTCATAAATTATTTGACAGTATCGTACTTCCGGCTATCACACATGGGGCAGCTGTGTGGGGTCTTCAGAATCACTCGTGTATAAAAGCTGTTCAGAACCGGGACTGCTTTTACGTAGGTGTTAGTAGATATGCGCCAACAGATGGAGTACTTGGAGGTATAGGATGAGTACCCGTAAGCATATCACAGACGATTGCAGATATATGTGTTTGTACAACAACATATTAAATAAAAGGATATTTCTATAGACTTATACGTGTGCCTTCACGGGTGTAAAAACTGGAATTTTAAGCTGAGAAAACTGTTAGGAGACTGCGATTACCGCTATTTGCAAGCTTCATTTCAACCTGGCATAGTTAAGATACGATATTCACGATATATAGGTGTGCACACAGGGGCGTGTCACGCTTAGAAACAGCGTTAGAAAGACATATAGGTATATAGACCCAACCCTAGTATTAAAATTGTATATATACTGAGTCAAAAAAGAAACTTCACAAAATGTAATTTGAAAAATAATGAATAACTTTTTTCTGATGATACATCTATGTATCCAAAATGGGATCCCTATCTTTCGACTCTAGAAAAACGTTAGCAAAACCCACTCAAACCCATCCATTCCTCGTGCAAATGACGTTAGTGCCAAATCAGGTTTTGCACGTGCAGTCGATCACGTGATCTTCGCTTCGAAGTTTTCTTCATATGCACGTGTTTGCATTGGCCTCAAGAATTGACAAAAACACTTTTTAACCACAGTTCTAATGGTACTTGAAATGCCACGATTGTCAAATGTGCAACGTGAACGTGCCGTTGGCATGTTGCAAAGCGGGAAGATCAGTTATTGATGTTGCAAGAGCAATGGGATGCAGCCGTCGTACTGTGTAGGTCGTCTACAATAAACTGGCACCACTTCTGACAGCCCAAGGTCGGGTCGTCCACGTGTGACGTCACGAGCAGGAAACCGTCAAATCGTCCTACGTCACCTACGTGACAGATTTCTGCCGGCTACACGAACCAGAGCTGAGATGTTTAGAGGTCAAATCGGTTGCGGGCTGCCAATCTCCATTCTCGACGTCCATATCGTGGGCCAATATTGACGCCGTTTCATCAACGTCAACGTCTGCTGTGGGCCCAACGTCACCTCCGATGGACCAAGAGAGACTGGAATCGAGTCGTCTTTAGCGATGAATCCAGGTTTACCCTCAGATTCGCGGACGGCAGGCATAGAGTCTGGAGACGACGCAATGAACGGTTTGCCCAATGTTGTGTACAGGAAGTCGACAGATTCGGAGGCGTAAGTTGCATGGTGTTCCCGACTTCTGGTCATCCGTAAAAAACTCACAGCTGCTGCTTACCGCGACCAGGTGCTCACCCCTGAACTCGTTCCTTTCATGGTGGCTCATGGCCCAGGTCTACAGTTCCAGCATGATAATGCTCGGCCGCTATACCGCGATGTTGACACGAAATTTCCTTCAAAACGCTGGAATCAACGTCCTGGTCTGGCCATCGAGGTCCCTTGACCTTAAATCAAATAGAACACGTTTGGGATGCGCTTTGGGAGAAGGCTTCGTGGTCCTAGGAACCAACCTCAGAATTTGCAGGAACTTGGCGCTGCCTTGCAGAGCAATGGCGCAGAATCTTCAACCACGTGTTCACAGAGCATCAGGCAGTCGATGAGGAGACGGTGTTTGGTAGTGGTGAATGCGCGGGGCGGCCATACACGATATTGAACGGAGAAATTTCATTTTTTATTCCTGTGACTTGACATTCCGTATACCCATGTTTTGGAACGGCGATGTAGCCTAATGGAACTGATTATGGCAATGTCAGTGTATCGAGTACATCACACAGATCTCAGCAATGACATAATAACAATTTAACCATCTTACCATCTCTTGTTCTTTTATAGTGCCCTGAAGAATGGATGTGAAGCTTCTTTTGTGACTCAGTATAGTACTAGGGTAGGGTCTATATACCTATATGTCTTTCTAACGCTGTTTCTAAGCGTGACACGCTCCTGTGGGTGTGCATGGATGCAAAGGATTAATACAGGGAAGTTAAGAACCCATAAGACTATGAAGGACAATGTATATTGATAGGGTTTAGAAATTACTGTCATGAAAGGCTTGTGAGTCCCCTTTAAACTAGCAAAATATAACACTAATAATAAAACACTATATGAACACAGTTATGACCTTTGGTTTGCAAATAGCCACATGAATGTGAAGCGTATATAAAATATGTTGCTGAGATTAATATAACATTGTGAAATTCGTAACAATTCTTCAAAGGCATTTAGAAGTTGGTGTAGTAATACAAGACAAACATTATGGATAACAACTTCTTGGTTTATTGTGCATTGCAGGGATATTCATATTAAATGAAACTCCGAGAACACGTAAGGTTGGTGTAAGTTAACACTAATCACGTACAGCACGTGCATTTACTTCACTGTTACAACTACTGCGCGTTTCCCCTAATAATACAAACCAATAATAACGATTTGAATCTATGATCGTTTGTTAAACAACTTTTATCCTAAGTTGAATAAAATTTTGAGAGTTAAAAGTTCAATTGGCAAGGTAAAATTATAAGGATTCGCAATCTTAATTTCACTCTATTTGATTTACATTTTTGTTTAAAGTGAAATTCAAAGGTACGCTTTCAGTGCAAACAGACAACACGTAAAAGGCTCACATTATTTTTTTGCAGTGATGAGACATACCCTAACAATAACGTATGTCAGATTCTCGGGAGCGTCAAATTCAAGTACTTTGTGACAGGACATAATTCTTCTGGGCCATTTTATTCTCATATGGTTGTTTGTTCTGGACACATAGACTGAATGCTTCGTACATGTTGGTCAGAGTGATGATTGTGTGGTCTTCCAAATTTGATCGGGAGGTCATTCCTTGTGTTTATAGTTGCTGGATAACCCTGCGTATGCTGCTTACTTCGCTATTAGATAGTATCCTTGTAGCTGTTCGGTTTGGTGTACTGAAACCCAGCATGAAATATACGACCACCATTAGATGTTGGAAAAAACAGTATGAACATTGACGTTTGCCATTTTGACAGGTTTACTGAACATGTCACTTTTTTATAGCCAATGATTGATTTTAATCAAAGTAGTCTAATATATTGAGTAAGTATACACAAATTCGCCACGTTCATTGATTTCAAATAAAGTATTCATTTAAGTTGAGTAAATATGAATGACATGACAATCATTAAACACAGTTCACCAAGCTATAGTTTGAGCCTGGGGACCTTAATTGGTGGGTACATTTCAGAAACAGACTATAATCCAGCAGCCCTAATCCCCCTGATCTTCCACAAAAATATTTTGAGCTAACTGAAAACACCCCGCCCTGATTCCCTACACCAAGAAGGATGTTACGCTGACATGCACATACCCGGGGCAACGTATTACCAGGCTCACTCAAGCTAGACGGCCGTTGTGAATCTCATGGTGACCTTTCTCTTGAGCCTTGTCAGGTTATATGAACTTGCCTAGTACATTTGCATATCTCACAGTATCGGCCTGCCTCTTTGAATGCATGTGTACACAGATATAGGGTTTTACAGACACTCTATGTACTCACAGATCAACAGCACTCAGAAAGACGAAGCCCGACACTGGCGCAACTGTTATGTCTAAGTAAGCCTTGCACGAAACAAAATATACAGACACACACAAATTTATCATTTGGGTTTTGATTCTGAGTTCTTGGTAGTGTCATTCACAAGTTAAGGGTCTAAACCAGTCCTATGCTCATGTTTTTCAATACAAAAACAAACATAAGTGTCGATGATGCACTGAGATTATCAACTGAGGGAGTGAGTGAGTGAGTGAGTGAGTTATTATTTAACGTCACATCGGCAATATTTCAGCCATATCGTGACGAGAACATTTGATATTGAAATGTAATATGTGTATAATATAAAACACCTGCCAACGAAGGGCAGTAAAACAACTAGAATATCACAATTAGATTTAAAACTAGTGTGGAAGGTTAAAACTAATAGCACTATTAGGACAATACAAGATAAAAACAGGCTATAGATCGCCAACAACCGAAGGTCGATCACCATACTAGGGACCATGGGGACTTACAGTACCTTGGCTACCTGCATGGACCCTAGTTGGATTTACACCATCCCTTCAGCTGCTGGCGATTGTCAGAAATGTTAGCTACAATTAAAATGACAAAAATGCTACGTTTAAAAATCCTGGTAAGTTTAAATTGACTTTCGAAGTTTTGGGACTTACGTACCCTCTCAGGGGGACAATAATTTTACAATACTTCAACCCCCTTGAGAGTACAGCCACCAACAATCTAAGTTACTTATCAAACTACCAATCATTAAAACACAGCTATATACAGAATATATTAATCAAAATTCATTAATGAAATCAATTTCTTTTAAAAAACCAAGAATTAAATAAAGATGAACAGAATTAAAAGATCCTTAACAGTTTTAACATTGAAATATTTATCCCTTATGATGGAGAATTCAACACAGTCAAGCAGGAGATGCTTGACTGTGACTCTCATCACAA